TTCCCCTCCAGGATGAGCACGGATACATCGCGCGCGAGTTTCACCGCCGCTACCGCTTGCCGCCTGGCGTGGACCCTGCGGCCGTGACGTCTGCGCTGTCCCCTGAGGGCGTCCTTTCCATCCAGGCTGCACCTGCTCCGGCCCAGGCTCCACTGCCGTCGCCGCCAGCAGCTGCCGCCAAGTAGGAGCCAGGGCACGCTTGAACCCTGGGAGCCGCCTGAGGCCCCTCCACCGCACTTTTAAAGCCGACCTGACTCCGCCCAGCCAGATATCCAGAGCGCGCTAAGACTACCCGCCCACCCAATCTGGGATCTGCCTTGAACCTTCCAACCTAGACCTTTCCACTGACACTCCCTCTCTCACACACTCTCCTGTTTTCAAACCTCCCAACACCTCTCTGGCTTCCACACCCTACAAGCACAGTCCCTCAGCCTACCGTCTCCCATCCCCACTGACCCCGCTTGGCATAGAACCCCACTCCAAACTCCCTATTTCCTTCTGACTTTTCTAGGAAAACATCTCCACACCCCGTTTCAATCCCCCCCACCCAAGATTATGGTGTAGACAGACCTGCCCCCACCCTAGGCCTAGGCCAGTCAAGCATAAGCCCCCGCTTCCCCTCAAATGTCCCAGACTCTGCACAGACCTCCCACCCTGGACCTTCCTGGCCTGGTCCCCAAGACTCTGGGTCCTTCCCCTCATTCCAACCAGATACTCCACTTCTCCTCACTCTCTCCCCCCAACCCATCTTCTAACTTGAAACCTCAGCCAGCCACCCCCGCTCTTGAACCCCTTTTCTGACCCCCACCCTTGTACACCTATTCTAGGCCAACCAGGACCCTCAACCTCACACTGTACAGATACCCACCCCATCTCCTCAGACTCTGCACAGATGTCCTAGGCCCCTACGCCCAGCTCTAACCAGAACCCCCCAGTCACTGTCTTGACCCCCAAGTCTCCAACCACATATCCACCTTCCACACCCCTCCCCTTATTCTCCAAGACCCAACCAAGCAGCCACTTTCCTTGATTGCCCACAATCTTTCTCTCGCCTCAAAGTCCCTGATGCCCCGTCTCCTCACTCCCCCAATAAATGTGCTAGAACTGTGCCAACTGCTTTATGTCTGATCCGGGAAGGATGCGCTGGAGAAAGCGGAGGCCAGTGTGGAGGAGAGGAATGTTTATTGGGGTGGGGGTGCGGACAGGGGAACGTCACTGTCGCTCGTACATCTCCCGTAGGATCTTCATGCTTTCTGAGTAACGAAGCTGGTTCCGATGGGATGCCTCCTTCCACCTGCAGTTGGGGTCGGGGGAAGGCAGAGGGAGGACTCAGCAGTTGGAGCACAGGCCACAGGGAACAAGCAGTTGGGGGATGCTCACCTCTGGCGGATGCGTTTCCAGCGCTGCATGTTTCGGTAGATGAGTGTGGAGGGTGAGGGCTCAGGCTCAGAGGGCTGCATGGACAGAGAGGCCAGGCTGGGTGGCCACACCCGAGCCCCACAACTCCTGCCCCATTGCCCCAGGCCGGCCTTGCACACCCACCTCATCATCAGGGGTACCCTGGGTCTCAGGCTGCAGTGGGGTTGGAATTCGGGATCTACAGGCATCTCCGGGTGGTCCGGGAGCTGTGGGTGGAGGCAGCTTATACACATCACGACTCTTGCTGTTGGTGACCTCTGAACCCTGAGGATACAGGACCCCACACCAAGCCCAAGAGAGTCAGAGAAGAGGGCCAGGGGCACACATTTCACACGTCCTTCCTTTCCCAGTGACAAAAGACATGAGGGTCTCACCAGGGACCTGTACTTAGGAGTCATGTCTGTCTGCTCCAAGGATCCCTGTTTTCTCCTATCCAACCCAGGGATCCCCTCAATTACTCCTGCCCAGCACACAGACCTCCATCTATGGAGACTTCCATTCACAGCCCAAGGGGTCCCCATCTGCTCCCCTAGGCCAGGTGGCTACACCTGTTTGCACTAAGAACCCCTGCCCAGTCCCCCAGCCCTTGGGAACCCCTGATCTTGGAGGTCACATCTATTTGCCCAGAAGAACCCTGTCCCCTCTCCCTCCCAGACCAGATAGCCACGTCTGTCTGCTCTGGGGCACTCCAACCGTTCCCCTGGCCTAAGGGTTCCTATCTGTGTGCCTCACCGGATCCAGGAGTTACCTGAGAGACACAGAGACCTGTGCTTGTCTATCCCATCAGCTTGGGGGGAAGGTACCTTGTGACTGTCTACCCACTGTCCTCCCTGGCTGCTGGGCGGGGGCCCACCACCCATCCCACCTCCTCATCCTCAGGCAGTGGGGGCAGCGGTGAACTGGGTGAGCGTTCACGCTCGCGCACTGTGGGGCTGTTGCGCATCCAGGCTCGGCAGATCGGGTACAGCGGTGTGTTCTCACTGAACTGAGCCAAGTCCACGCTCCGGTCAAACAGCTTGATCACGTATGAGTCTAGGGTGGTGAGAGTGGGAGGGGTATGAATATCGTCACGTAGACCGCCATCACTGCCTGCCCTCCAGGGCCACCGACTACTCACTGGATCGCTGTGGCCCTCCCTCGGCCAGCCCCTCATCCATCTCCCTCCTCTTCTTCCTCCGCTGATGGGGGAATCGGGCAGATGGCCTGTGTGGGGAGGGAGAATTTCAGGACCGGGGTGGGGACTGAGGACCTCTCATCAGCTGGCTGGGGCCCCTGCCACCTTACCGTTTGCCGCTGGCCGTGATGGAGCAATCCCTGTGGGGAGAGACAGGGCGTCAGCAGGCTTACCCTTGAACAAATGCCTGCTCAAAAGCCCCCAAAGGGCACCCTTGGGGTACTGTGATCAAGCTCATATAGACGCCACCAACTCCTTGGCCTTGTGTTCCCCCCACACCGGGCCCGAGGTGGCATCATCAGGGCACCTAAGCTTCTGCTGCCCCAGGGCCTTTGTACATGGAGAGTGGTTAGGAGTGTGGTGGAGAAAGCATGGGGCAGGGTGGTCAGGGCTTGGATGAGGAAAGAAGTTATCTACCACAAACCCTCAAACACAGATCTCATCAATAAAACTTACTTGTTGTGGGTGTCTGAGGGGGTCTTCCCAGCTTCCTCATCCAGACGCTCCCTGGTAGCAGAGGAGAACTGTAGGCTCAGGGTTCCAAGGGCCCAGGGTGGGAAGGCACCCAGTGGCCTCGTCCATTGGGCCCCTTCCTCCCTAAGCCAGCCTCTGGGGTCCCACCCAGGGCCCCCGACTCCCTCTGACCCCATATGCTGGGCCAGGTCCCAACCTGTCCATGTGACTCTTCTCCAGCAGACACTGCAGAACAGCATCCAGTTGGTTCCGGGCCTTTGCCATCTCCAACTCTGGGGAAGAGGGTACCGAGCAGGAGTCACTTCCCAGGCCCACAGCAGGTGGGCAGCCACTGGGCCAGGGAAGGGCATGTGTATCCAATCCTTCGGTCGGGCCCAGGCATGCTGGGAGGGTACAGTGGGCAGAGACTACTGAAATGATGAGCAAGAGCTCTGGCTTCCAGGGCTGACCCACATGCTCATGTGTGACCTAAGGTGAATCACCTTACCTCACTGAGCCTGTTTCCTCATCTCGAAAATGGGTCTCCGAATGATATCTACCTGCTAGGACTGTTTTGAGGTTTAAACAAACCTATGTTGTATATGAATCTCTTAGCAGGATGCAATAATAATGAGTAACATATATAGAGTGCTTATTATGTGCCAAGCACTGTTCCAAGCACATCACACATATTAACCCATTGAGTTTTCACAATAACCCTGGCAGGTAAATATGATGTTTATCCCCATTTTAGAAATGATGAAACTGATGCACAGAGATGTTAGTCTACTTGCCCCAAGTCACACAGCTAGGAAATCGCAAGGCTGAGGATTTGCACCCAGGTCATCTGGCTCCACAGCTGAAGTTATAAGGCACGGACTCAAACTGGGTGCAGGATCCAGCCACCAGATGTGCTTTGTTTGGCTGAGGTAGTTGTGTTATTTTAAATCTGAGTTAAATCTGAATAAGATGACATTTAATAATTGGGAGATTTCATCTCAAATACCCATTTTTGGCTTTTTTTTCCCCCAGGAAATGAGATCTGGGCCCACCTTCCTGCATGCCACAGCCCCTGCCTGGCCCTGTCAGCCTGTGTGTTTGCCTCTCTTCATCACGGAACATAAGTAGGTGATGATGTTATAAATATTCTCCTCTTACTCTTGTGGGGTGTTCGCTCTTCTCTTCCAACTAGTAGGAGCTCTGACCCAGCACTCAGAGCCTGGAAGGACACTTGGGGACATGCTTTGCCAGCCCTGAGACTTCCTGAAGAGACCAGGAGACATGACTCAGAGGAGCGACAGGGTGGGGATGCAGGGCTGGGGGCAGCTGAGATTCTAGCAAAGAGCCTTGGTCAGGAGCCAAGGTATGGATCATGCCCACCTCTCTTTTCC